AAATCAACCTTTAAATCAAGTGACAAGAAGAAATGGATCATTTTAAACAAGATCTTTAGCCATCACAACAGGAGAAGCCATCAAACGACACAGGTTCATTTTTTGGAGTGCAGTTTAGGTATGTGGTGTCCAATAAAACCTGAAGCAACTTTAGTGGTGATTAAATATGTCCTGGTTAAACATGTGCTTTATTTAACTTCACTGACTTTTTTCACCTATCCCTCCCCACACACAGACTCCCCTCACAGAATTATGAGAAATAGTATCTCACAAATGCCTGACTCAAATAATCATAGAATCATGGAGTGGTTTGGGTTGAACAGAACCTTAAAGAACACCTCTTTTCAACCCTCTCTGCTGTGGGCAGGGACACCTTCCACCAGACCCAATTGCTCAGGATGCACTCAGTCCTTCCCATTCACGTCATTAATGAAGATATTAAAAGCATCCTGGTTTGCACAAGGCTTATGGCCATAAAGGCTCACAGGATACATATACTCAAAATGCTCAGAGGCATAATACAGTCAGCATCAAAAAGCAAGCTACTAAAATCCATTTGTTAAGTATTGGAATGCTCTATTAGAGCAAACCCCCAGATACTTAGAACTCCTGCTCCAGGGCTACTTACCACAGACAGAACATGCTACTATAGCAAACTAAATACGTTGAAAAAAGACACGTGAACTGAAGCTTTCATTCTCTCATCTTCAAACAAGGCATGTGAGAAAAAGACATGTTAAAACTGCTTTGTAGAGGCTAAACCAGGTAGTACCACCTTAGAGCTAATTTATTCTGAGATAGAGAGTCAACATAATCAAAAATAATTATTCAAGGAATTATAAGCAAATTGTGGTCACGTTGTCTAAGCACATCACCAAAATGTGATAAACAGAAATTCTAAATATTTCTATATTATTTATTCTAAAGTAGATTGGAGGGGTTTTTTGTATACAGATGCAAGGTCGAAATTTTATTAATGACATGCAGCTACCAGCAATTTCTATAATTTTAGTTTGAACTATTGAGGATCAAAGTAAAAAATACTAAAATCAAATCTATATATCAGCCTTTTAAAGAATGTGTGTTAAAAAGTCAGTGTAAATAGACAGGAAATACTCTTGTAATGGCACTTTCCTTACTCTCTTCTTTTTTTCTCCTTAAAATGTTAAGGCTATGCTAATTCCACCACCTCTTCCCCTTTTCAGCTATAGCAGTTGCTCAACAGCCAACCATCTCCATATGGCAGTAATAGAAGGATAGTTTAATGGACTATTCATGGATGGATGATGACTAGTCATCATCCAGAACAAGCAGGGAAGAAAAACTGCAACAAGCAGGTGACTCCAAATAATTCTTTCAGAATAATTCTTTCAAAATAATTCTTTAAGATGTCAGGAAGGAGAAGGACAAAATAAACAGGAAAACCATGTGTGGTTTGACCATCAGTGCAATGACTGCCTGTAGAATTTTTCTTTTAAGAATTGTGTTGATGTTAGTCTGGATAGAAACATGCCCTCATACATCAGGGTCCAAAGAACATTTTAAACAGATGCACAAAGTAAAAGGCAGAATATTCATCATACTGAAGGATCATGATAAAATGAAAGGGTCTATTTCACTCTTTCTAAATTCTGGTCTCTATAGGACAAAGCTTCTTCCATCATTCTGCACTACTGTGTAGAGCTCATTAGGGATATCTTCTTTTCCAAGCCAATCTCTGGCACAGACATGCTGAGGAAACAGCTTTCATGAGTGAGAGCAGGGTTTAGTTTTATCCCAGATGCAGTTTTATCCCTGAAAACTTTCACCAGAAATTAAATCAAGCCACATCCAAGCCATCCCTAGAAGAGCCAGCCACCATCCAGTGCCTGCCTTGTGCCCCAGAGCACAACACATCTTCTTCCCCTATGTGATATTGCTATTGATTACAAATAATCCTTTTCTGAATTACTAATTTTGTAGATATGCAGTGATGAGTTTTACAGTCTGTGCACACACTTCATGTTACTTAGTGGAGCTGCAGATACTTGTTAGCCATACTGGTCATTTCTTGCACTGATAAAGTGTATTAATTATGTGTTGTATCAAAAATCACAGAATCACTAGGTTGGAAGAGACCTTCAAGATCATCAAGTCCCACACAGATGCCATCACTTTGTTTCACAGAATCACAGAATGAATCAGGTTGGAGGGGACCAAATGAGTCATCTGATCCAACCTCCCTGCTCAAGCAGGTTCATCCTGGAGCACATGGCACAGGACTGTGTCCACACAGATTGTGTCCAGTTCTGGGGTATCTCCAGCGTGGGAGACTCCACAGTCTCTCTGGACAATCTGTTCCAGCACTCAGTCACTTGCATGTGAATGAAGTTGCACAAGGAAAGAAGTTCTTCCTTGTGTTCAGGTGGAACTTCCTCTTCATCGGTTTCTGCCCCTTGCCTCTTGTCCTATTGCCTGGACAAGCAGAGCCGGTTCCATCCCCTTGGCTGAACAGCCCTACCTCTCTCAGCCTTTCCTCCTAAGAGAGATGCTCCAGTCCCTTCATCATCCTCTTTGCCCTCCACTGGACCTGCTCCAGGAGCTCCATGTCTCCCTTGTACCGGGGAGCCCAGAACTGGACACGGCATTCCAGATGTGACCTCACCAGGACTGAGCAGAGGGGCAGGGTCACCTCCCTCTGCCTGCTGACAGTGCTCTTCCTAATGCACCCCAGAAAAGGAGAAGAAATACAGCTCAACTTTACCATAAGCAGGTGAAGAGCAAGTCCAAGGAAACCAGAATATCCAGAAGGCTATTAAGAAACATATCTTATACATCTACTGTAATTCTAAGCTATCAGGATACACTGAAGAAGTGACAAACTGCTAAAAAATACTCCTCTCTCTTAATGAATATATCCACAGGACATATCCTAAAGTGAAGGAGGAATACATTATGTAAGTGGGATCCTGCTTTGTGCAAAAAAGCAAAATAAATCATTATTATGTTTTTTTGTCCTATGTATTGTTTTCCCAGATAAATGTAGTGTTTATTGCAGGGAAACAGCCAAACGACAGAGTTCTTGGGAAGCAAATCTGCATGCTCTCTACCAATCATTTCAAGTAAATTATAATTATTTTCTTTGGCACCTTGTGAAACATGACTGACTGTATACGAGGGCTGGTGTCCTCAGGACTGGTGCTGTCATGCCCCTGCTCTTATAAAAAACACCCTCTGCCAAGACAAACAATGGCCTAGAATTCGGTGAATTTTTCTGAGCAGAGATAATGAGGTGCAGTTGACTCCCATCAAGCTCAACTGGGCAAGTGCAACTGGGTTATTCCAGAGGCAGTTGAGAACGGCTGGCTGGAAACCAAAACCCACTTAATTTGCAAAAGAGGGGGGAAACTTTCTAAAAAAAGAGCCCTGAGAGATGTCGGAATGCCCTTTCCAGCTGGGAATAAAGCAGAGAAGTCAGCAGCAACTCTTGAGTTTATGAACTGTCATGGTCTTTCAGGAGTCTTCTGGATCCCACTCATCCTTCTGCAAGCTCTCAAAGCCAACCACTGTTGATGCTGACATTTCTCATTGAGCTACCTGTGTGCTCACAGAGGAAGTCTGGCACTTACAGATGATTTGAAAATCAATCTAATTTGATTGCCAGCCATCTTCTTTTTTTCTTTCTTCCTTCCTTTTCTCACCTAAAATCTTCTCCCTTTGCTGCTGATACCATGTTAGCTTTCTTATCTTTAGTCAAGACTGAAGCAAAACTTCATTAATTCTTCAACCATCTCGGTGGCATCTATTTTTAGCTTTTCTTCTTCTTTGAGCAATGGACCAGCTCTGTCCTGGGTCCTCCTCTTAAAGTGTTTGCAGAATGCCTACTTGTTACCCACTGTAACAAGTAGGCATTCTTCTTTCTATATTTTATCACCCTTTCTAATTTCTGATTGCATTCTTACATGTTCATATGATCTCCTGTTAGACTCTTCTGCTTTCTACTTCCATACAAGTATTTTGACTGCCATGTCATTTCTGCCCTGCAGATAAAGGACTTTGGTGCTCCATTCGCTGATTTGGGTATCTTCATAGGGAAATTAGATCTGATATTCTGCAAGAAGAAGAGATTCCTTGCTCTTCTTTACGACATCTTCGTTCCCACAATTTACAATATTAATACAAGGCTGTTGCTGTACCTTGATGTTTGCCTTTTATTGTAGATAGGTGTCATGTACAAAAGTATTTCTAATACTGTGGTGTTTAGGAAGAGAAAAAGTGTGGACTCAGCAATCACTAAGTATGTTATATGGACTGGAAATGAAAGCAACTGAACTTTAACTTTGAGGGCTGTTTTCAGTTCCTTGGAGGAATATGAAATGTATTTTTGCACTGACGGTATTTTGTCTGCAGTGTGTCATTTTGAATCAGCAGTAACACATAATTCGTCTGTCCTCCTCCATTCAACGATCATATTCATTCAGAAAATGTTTTTGCAAACAAGTGAATGATGAACAAGCAAAAATGATGGAAAATTATGAATAAGAAAATAGCAATAATACATTGTTTATGAGACTATGTGTGTTTATAAAAATCCAATTCTAATTCATAATTTTGAAAAAGTTTTTTCAGGACAGTTCCCTTTGTTTGGTCTGAGTCTGGAGAGATCTTTGCCAAGTAAGACAAAATAGGATTCTGAAATCTTCTAAGTTACTAGATCACAATATAGTTCAAGATGCTTTCTTTTCACTCAGATAAAAAATTATGTCTGGGATTTTTTAAACCTCAGACTTGGCAGGTGACACTGCTTTGAATAAAAAACTAATTAATATTTAAAATCTGTTATTTGCACAATGTTGCCATTGACATTGAAACCCTAGCAGAAAGAAAAAGGTCAAAATGGCTGCCAAATACTACATCAAAGAAGTCATGCACTTTTTGACTTTTAAAAATCTTCTTTATGTAAGTGACAAGAACATTTTTTCTGCTCTTCAATTGCACAATACAATTGTTAAGCACTGGAATTAACATGGTGACTTAAGTATGTAACTAAAAAATACATATATTTCTACATATGAGATTATTTACATCACTCAGAGGTCTTGCTTTCTTTTTTCTGGGTCAATATATTTGCCTGGGATATCCATCTAGAAACAAAAAAATACAGTTTACCTTCAGATGCAAAATACAAGCATATACATAATTTTGCTGTATTCTTCTCTAAATAATCGTTTCCATATTTTTGGCTTCCTTTGGAAGTTGTGTCAAAATGTTTTGATTATTAGCTGATGAAAATGAGGAGACTCTCTTTCCGTTACGCTGCCATGCACATCTCACCTAATTCAAATTATTTCCTTTCATATCATGACTCACAAGTGCTGTTTAGCCACTTCATTCGAGAAATATATGTTGTTTCCTTCCTTTATTCTCTAGGTTCTCAGGGTTATAAAGAGCCTCAGAACTTCCAGACACGGTGCTCAGATGTGCATCCAGAATCCTGCAGGCAGAGAAGCATGAAATTGTCTCAAGGGTTGGAAACGTAAAGCAGCCGGTACCCCTCAAGCTTCAAATCTTTTCAAATCTATAGCTAAATGTCTGTTCTATTCAGGGAACTGTGGTAGATCACCTCCTTTCCCAGAAGCTGAGATGTCCCTCAGTTCGTGTTTTGCTTTGAGTTTTGTCTAGGCAACTGGATCAAAGCAGTCACGATAGTTTTATAGTTTAATTATTATAATTTACAGGGCTTCTGACAAGAAAATTGAGCACAACAAGCTTGCTCAGCAGTGGCTTGCAGTATTGAATTGCACACTTTCAATTCCTCTTGACCTCAAATACTTCAATATTGGATTGCTGGTAGGCAGAGAGTGGACACCAGTTATGTAAAACTTGACTTCAAGAGCTGGATTACCTGAAGAAATTATTTGAGAGGTGATGACACACAGTTACAGTTAACACAGATAAAACAAAGTTACAGGGTCCTTCCATTTGGCATATCCATGTCCCAGTAAATGATTCTGAAAAGATTTTGTGTGCATTTACATAGATCAGACATGAAACTTTAAGACAAGGGCAATTGCCCAAGACAACTTGTGCAACTACGTAGTCCTAAACTTCTAATTTTTGCAGGAAACCAGCTGAATGATTCAAAATGTGAATGAAAATCCAAATGGCAAGGATTCAAAAGTATTTTAATTGCTGCTTGTAGTGGACTACTAATTATCCAAATTTACAAGGCTTTTCAATGCTTGACACCAGCATATATGTGCATAATAAAGCATTTGATCCAGTTGTTCTCAGGCTCAAGTGTGAGCTGCATACACAGTGGTTTAGGTATAAAAATATCCATAGCTGACAACTGACATTTGTTGTGCCAGTAGAAAGTAATGGAGCTGGGACCTCTGTTTCACTGGAGTACAGACAGAATCTGGCTCACAGGTACAACCTGATACTCAGCTTGGGAGATCAAACTTGAGAAGGACTGAGTTGAGGAGACTGTCTTGTTAACCAGCTCTGAAGGGCTGGAGAGAATCCCTGACTTAGACTGGTTCGACTGATAGCTATCCAGCAGGAACTTCTGCAGTGATTTCCTCCAATGTATAGATTTCTGTGGATTCTTCTACAGCTGAGAAACAAATCCACATGTCAACTTGGGCAGATGAACTCAGAATCACCACCTCTAGCTATTTTGGTCTCCTTCTTTAGTGGTTTTGTAATCCACAAAACACCATAATAGCTCGTACAAATCATTTCAAGAGACACATGGTTTACAGAGAGATCTACAGCCAACATGAGGAGATGTTATTTTCATTTCATTATTCATTTTTCCTTCTCACATGTCAGCTAGAGTGGTTCAGATTCTGTCTTCCATTGACGTCAGTTGGTGTTATGCACATAATACTCAAGAAGAGGATTTATGATCCAGCAATTTTACCTCTGATTTTAAAAGGTTATATACACTACATCCAGGCCATGGTATGAACCAAGGAACATATGTTTAATCTGCTCCTTCTAAGGCATTAAATTCCATTTTCTTTATGAATTCTTCCAAGTTTATTCCTGTATCTAAGCATGAAAAAGACTACCAAATTTCCAGCATTCTTCAAACTTATCATCCAAAATTTTCTGCACTTAGGAGAAGACAAAGCTGCACTTAAAACAGGAATTCCAAACTATGAGCCATGAGCAGAAAAGATATAACTCTGCTTTCTCTCATCCATGCCAGTCCATGGCCTAGTCCCTTGGGGATTTCAGAACATACCAGAACAGCATTCATAGTTGACTGCCATTAAATAAAGTATAATAGAGCCTCCCAATCTAATTAGGACAATGCCACTTACTTTCATCTAATGTTCAAAGCAGTAACAGGCTTCAGGCCTTGTCCCCTATTTTCACCTTTAGAAGATCTTCTCTAATCTTCAGATTTGACAGCGCTAAACCTCAGCCAATTCTGAGGCTTTTGACAAGAGGGGGGAGCAGACCAGTCATATTTTTCTGACCAAACATACAAGACAGAGCTGTCATGTGAAAGTCCTAACACAGGATTTTCTCTCCTGTACTGTTTTTACCAGCAAAAAGTCATTCACAGTGCTGCCCCACTGACTGACAAATGAAATCCATCCACTCCTATTGATACTATGAACAAATTTACCAGCAGCAGAATAGTACAACTGGAGTCTATTTAGTTGCTGGTGATTTCTTAGCAGCTTCTTATATTTCTTACCTGGAAAATAGGATATTTTTTTCCCCAAAATAACCCATTCACCAGACAGTATGGCTAAAGGAGCTCCTCCAAATACTTTGGATGGAACAAAACTGGTAAGCATAGTTATTTCTGATTGATCTAGCCACAAAAGAGAATGATTTAAGAAGTCTTGAAAGAGTAAAGGAAACATATAAAAAGGAAGTCCAGAGAGGCTTTTTACTTTCATCTTCAGTTTTGGTAGCTTTTCCTCTCCCCAGTGCAACCCTTAGATCAGTTGAATCCCTTTGTATTTCCATAGGCTTCAGTGGTCTGACAGGAGGAATGAGTTTTGCCTTTTCATCTCTATGTAAATGTTTATGCCTAAATAGATACACTGGCCCAAATTCTGGGCTGTGTTCCAGCGATTTCCTTCTGTAGAAACGAGATGGATGTCCCCAGTGGATAATCAATTCCTTCATTGTGGTGGAAGTCCAGATGACAGAAGCTTAGCAGAATGGTTGTAGTCTTCCCTCAGGTTCCTCTGGGAATGGTGAGGGGAGACTTTGATGAGGGTAAGACTTTTATGAGGGTATGATGAGTTCTGTTTGACTATTCAGTTGTCCCTAAGACCACTGTAATTGTCACTCTCCTAAAAAGTAAGTTCCCAAACAGTCATGCAGATGTTTGAAAAGGCGTATAGCGCAGAAAAAAAATATTTTGCTGATGCCCACTGAGAATTAATATTGATTAAATGGCTTGGAAAGTGGAGGATTTTTATCTGTTTCCACATTTGATTCTTCTTTTTCAACACCTGAATCCTTGTCCATATCAGTGGGTTATCAAGCACTGGAATAGGCTGCCCAAGGAAGTGGTGGAGTCACCACCCCTGGAGATAGTTAAAACTGGAACTGGCAAAACAGAAAAATGTGAAGAAAGGACTGAAAATCTATCTCATATGCAACTGAAGAGTTAAGACTACCACCAGTCTCTGAAAACAGGCTGCTACAAACCATTATCTATAGAGCAGGCTTATTCCATTTTCCACTCTCTCTTCCCTCCCAGCACATGTGCTGCTTGGAAGAGATCAGGAATCACAACCATTTCACATAAAGGGTGAAGTCCTGGACATTCACAGAAGAAGGAATGGCTGCCTAAGGTGTCATTGGCCATTTTAGGAGAACATTGCATACACAAAATGACAAATTTCAAAAGCCCTTCAAATAGACAGCAGTTAAGACTGAAAAGAGGCCTTGTTGCAGAGTCCTTAAAAATCATCAACTCCCCTACTTCAGCACAGCCAAACCACCAGGTGTAGGACTTGCTGTGAGCACCAGAGAATCCCACTGAATACAGAAACTTGAAGCGATAGACCATTATATGCTAAAATCTCGAAGAACTCCTTTCTAACCTGTCCATGTTTTAGCAGGAAACCTGGGCAGAGTCTGTGACCTCAGAGGTTAACTGGCAGACTTGCAGCCACTATTCACAACAGCTTCTGCATTGTTTACATATAAAAAATGCTTTTAAGACAAATAATGTGTTTCATATTTTCTCTCTATTGTGTTTTATAGCTTTTCCTTTTGTTTATGTCTAGAACTGCCTTCAGTTCTGGGGAGGTAACTAAACCATGCAATTTAACCTCCACAAAGAAAGCATTGACCTGGGTTGATTTTGAAGGAAGGGGAAGAGGGAGGTTGCGCTCCATCCAGAGGCTCTAAGCCAAATAGATCTGAAATGGAGGAGTGCCCAGATTTCTTACAGCGTGTGTGCACCAAACCATAGTAACTCATTGTGTACTGCAATTCCCTGCAATTTATCAGATGCCTGGAAAAGGGTGGTCTCAGATTTTGAAGCCCTGTGACCCCTATATTCACAGCCCTGGGCTCCAGAACAGGGGGTCAGTGTTCCCATGTCTGCACAAGGTCAGATGAGCTGCCCTTGGTGCAGCTCCTGATTATCTAATTTTAGGATACTTTTGATATGGTTTCTATTAGAAATACAAACGAATCTCACCGACATTTGTGGAGTCATCCCAAAGGTCCGTCACAGATTGCTCTGCATAAAATAAACTTTAAACTGATTAAAGAAGCAGCTCTGTCATGCATCTGTTTGACTTTTGCACTGAAGCTGCAAAAGTGCCCTATCACCAGCTGCAGGCAAATCAGGTGATCTTCTTACCATTCCTGTATAGGAGAATTTCACCAAGCATGCCATTTGTCTTTTTCTGATATTTCCCACAATATTTCCTGCACTTCTGAACAGGACCTCCAGTCACTAAGCCAGCAATGAATAGATTCTCTATGGCTTGTTGAAATATATTTGGAGGAGAAGAATCATATATTCATATATTCAGACAGCATTATTCCACAGTTATCCCACAACCATATGGCAGATGTTCATGTGATAAGCAGGCACCAGACAAAACAAATACTCTGTGTGGATTAATTCAAAATCAGTCCTTCATTTCAAAACTCAGATAATGTTGCCACCACACCAGAGAAGGTCTGTGATAACTTGTGTACCTGGAGTTCAACATCTACAGTCTTTGATGCACTCCAGAATCTTCTGCTCTAAAAAATTCCCTAGAGGAACTTTCCTACTCTGTAAAACCAGTCATTTTCTTGAGGAACAGAATACTGCTATCTCTTTTCCAAGGTCATTTTGGGAATCAATTGCAATCTGTAAAGTATTTTGATTGTGAGAATTTATGCTACATAATAGCAATTTAACTACTAACCTGGCATGGTGTTTTTGGCTATTAATCAAACTAAGTAATGCTACCCAAGAGTTCAGTAACAACACATTTATAAAGTCTGGTGCTATATTACAAGCAATTTTGTTCCAGTTGAGTATTTTAGGATAAAATCTAAAGAGAGGAATGCTAGTGTCTTTCCTCTTAATTTCCTGGCTTTGTTTCACAAATATTCTCCTCCTTAGTATTGTCACTAGCTTTTAATTTATATTTCATCAGCAGAAGAAGCTAATTATTAAATGTTGTGCACATTGGCTATTTTCTGTTGTGGTGGTGAATTAATCAAAAAGGGACAGGAAGACTGTTGATCTTGGCATTCCAAACCATGTTTGACAGCTGATCTCATAGTATGAAGATAAACTGCCATAGAAAAAAACAGGGATACAGAAGAAACTTTTACCACAATAGGAAACTGTGTGATATAAAGGGAGAGAGGAGAAAAAAAAAACCCCAAGAGAACATAGATGTTTTGTCATTGTCTGTTTTGTAAAGCATTTCAGAGTTTTAATTTAACATTTTATTTCCCTTTTGGAAACAAGTACACAAAGTCCTAAGAAACTTTGTAACTACCTGTAAAATCTATAATGATTTTACTCTTAGAACTAGAATCTGACATCCAAAAAATTAGGGAGATTTAAGTTTATAGTGTCTTGATACTCTTTGCATGGTGGCTCATTTTCTCTCTTCTTCTATTTCCTTACCAGACTTTAAGTTGACCACTAGCTAAAAAACCCAAAGTTCAAATTCCCTGTATTTTTTGAGGGACAAGATCATTGAAGTGCTCAGACTTCAGTTATCAAATACTGTACAAATACTACTCCTGTGAAACTTGCAATCAAAATTTAGTGTTTTGCACATAGCCCTTGCTTCTGAAACTGAGAGTTTACATCAATGTATTTTTTAGGATTTTTAAACCAGCTTTTCAGACCTTGAAAAACTTAGTAATAAAAAAGACAGAACTTCAGAAATCAGAAAGCCTTTAACATACAAAATCATTGTTGCTACTTAGCAAATGAAATTACTCTGGAACTCTACGAAATTCTTTTTTATTTTTTTTTTGGTCCAAGTGTTAAAGAAAGGATAAATTGCATAATAACCAGTGTCAGCTCTACAGCTGCAAGACTGCAATAGGAAAGGGGAAAAATGCACACATGGAGTAGAATGTCAAAAAAATAACTTAAACCACAAAGAAAACAGTTAGGTGAAAAAAAAAATCAGACCCAAGCTATGATTTTGAAAAGCTGTTCATATTTTTAGGAGTTTTAGCATCCCTATTTTTTTTCCCATGGTTTGGATTCCCCAGACAGCTCAGATCTCTCAGCACACACTGCAGTCTGGGACATTCAGAAAGAATTTATATTAAACAGCACAGATTTCCAATGATGTTAGAGTTGTACAATAGTTATATAATTTCTGTCCTGCTAATAGCAAAACCTATATGAAGCAATAGTTGGAGAGGATGCATAATGTCAGGGGAACTGAGAAACAGTTACTTAAACACAACTGTTTATGATACAGATAGCCATGGAAATGGGAAATTGTCACACTCCACTCCTTTTGAAGGCCCAAACTCCTCTTTCTGTAAGGTCTCTTCTTCAGGGTTCCCTTTCTCCTTGCCCTCTAGCCTCCTTCCTTGTTCTTGTTTCACTGTTGCATAGAGAGATTCCACATAATATTTCATTTCCATAAGGCACTGTCATTTCTGCTCTGCACTGACTTCCAGACAACACAATTCCAGTCATATTGCACTATGCCCTGAGGTTTTCAACAGGAAAATGAATTAGCATAGCAGATGCAGGTAAGCAACAGAATTATTTAGAACTATAAATGTATCTAATTTCAAACTTGAAAAATCCTGAAGGAATATATACCAGGAACTCACAGAGACAAGACTGTCAGGAAGATGCAGCACTGGGCAATTGTGTGGCCTCTATCAAATCAAAGTTTTCAGCAAAGTCTGAGGAGAAGAGCAGGAAATAATGGTCAGGACATTTTTTAAGTACTTGTTGAGTGATCCAGCAGTTTGCAGGATTGTGGGAAGAGTGTCCTTGTTAAATTCACCAGTTCAGTGAGCTCTTAAGCTCCACTGTGACAACACCAACAGAGAAGTCTGGGAATTAGAAGTCTCAGAACACCCAAAGAGGTTTCACTAAACAGAGTTTCAGGAATGGGAACCTTTCACAGGAGCTGAGGGATGAGAAGGAATTCCAGGGCATTCCTTCAGGAGTAAGAGCCACCAACCAGGCTGTGATGGCAGTGAGACAGTTTGGTCAGTGTCCCTCCCAGACTAGCATGACCAGCTGATGGTCTGTGCTAAGCCAGCTTAGTTTTCCACCAGCACCTCTCTTTTTCAACAGCAGGCTTAAAAAATTATGAAAACTTAATGTTTTGTGAAGTCATTTAATAAAAATCCTAATTTATTAAACAGTGGCCCATTTAAAGTGTCTAAACTTGCTTTAAAGAAAAATAAGTAGGAGCAGGGGTGAGAACCATGGGAGCCTTCCACTTACTTAAGCAAATAAAATTGAAAAACATATAGTTCCAACAATTAAAAAGAGGTTTTATTTTTCTTAAAAGTGATTAATGCTCAGAGAATAACTCAGAGGCTTGAAAAGAAACTGTTCATGGATTTGACTACTGGAATTTTTTTTTTTTTTATAACTGACCCTCAGAACTGTTAGGCAGCTGAGAAATCATCTACGTTTATATATTTTATTTCAAAAACCATGGAATTTTCTTTAAAAGAACATATATTTTATTTCTAAAACTAAAAAATGGTTCTGTTGTCTGAGGGGAATATATAAATGCAAATATATAGAGGTTATTTTAATCTTTTTTCATAAGATAAGTTCAAAGGCCACATAATATCCATAAGCTGCTGTCCAGCATTAAAGTCAAGGTGGGAAGCATTCCAGGAAGTGTCCACTAGATTAAGATTCATATACAACATCAGGCATCAGTTTGAAGCAGTATAAGAAACAAAAAGTAAGAAAAAAACCTGAAATATTCTTAAAGATAAATAATTTTCAGAGGCTGTTATAAGTTTGAGACATCATTTTTCCATTAAGATTCAACTTAGAAAATAATCATGGGGTTCTAAAACAAATTTAAGATTTTAGATCCTGGTTCTATTTTGCTCTCATGAGAACTCTTTTAAAAGCAATTCCTTTGCTAATGCCAGAACCAGACAAGTACTGGCTTTAGAAAACCTCCACTGTTTTTCTACTACAGGCTTCCATTTAGTAAGAAATACATGTTTTTTAATTACATTTCCTATGAAAAACAGTAGTTTAAATTGAGGGAAACTGTGCCTCACAGAAACTCAGCAATATTATTGAAACCTACAGCTTATTTGAGAAGACAGGAGTGTTCACAAAAATCCTAAAAGCACCCATTTCTCTATTTCTGAAGGCAAGTAAACCCTTCACTAATTCCTCCTCAAGCTTCCCCATCTGGGTTTTCCTGGGTGGAGAAGGGCAGACAATGCTGTGTGATGCTTCACTGGTGTTTTCTATAGTAATGTGCTTGGTAGCACCAGGGCACCCCAGAGCGGTGCAGGGCTGGTCTGTGTCCATGTTCCAGATGCAGCACAGCCGTGTCCTGCAGCATTCCCCGTGTCCCCAGTCGCTGTGGTGTTCTCATAGACCAAGCTGGTCAAAGCTCAGGAAAAGCCAAGCAGAAGAGCAGCAGAGGAAAACAGTCCCTGCTCCACAGAGAGAACCACTGCATTTTACAGCACAAACAGTCTGTGCACTTTGGTAATGTCCTGCCATGAGTCCCAGGACAAGCACAGGCACCAAATCTCTAAGCATTGGCTTTGGAATTCCAGCTATCCACAACTGTTCAGAGCCAATGTGTCCAGTGACATCTGTCAGGAGAAAACAACTACATCTACCTCCAGCTGAAAACAATTGCTGTGTCTACCTCCTCACATTTCCTCGATAGAGCTCCCCAGGTTGCTCACACATCCACACCACAGCCCAACGTTTACCTCCTTCTCACTCACAGGAACACAACCTCACTCATTCACATATGAACAGCAATTCTATTTACTTTACTCCTTTTTATCAAATAAATGTCTTTTTTGTTTTTAATTAGCATGTTCCAAATGCATTGGATGCCATGTCTTGAAGAGGCATTGTTACCAGTGATGAAAAATCAGTTTCCAAGTTTCCTGCAGCAAAATTGGTGCCTTAAATCAGCACAGTACCATACAATGTCTTAAACCATTTTTCTCACTTTGCTGCCTGTCAGCTCTGTACCCAATGTCTTTTATTTCTTATGGAAATATGTCATACAGGAACACAGTAAATCTTAAGGCCTACAAAGCATTTTAAACCATCATAAATTGGACCTGACACAGAAGGCCACCGTGTCACCTCCTGCACTTCTCCATCCCTCAGGCCACCACAAGTCTTCAGGCTGTGGTGCAATTACTTGGATTGATACCATATCTACCTGAGATCCAGTCTAAACATGCACAGCTTTTTGCTGGGTTAGGCTTAACTCAGATCATAATTACACCAGATCAAAGTTGGCCTAAAACTGCTGTGGTAAAGTGAAAGTCATCTGTTGACAAGAAATCCAGATGTCCTTTGGTTTCTCAGCCATCACACCATCAAAAATGAGCACAGATACCTTGGCAAGCGAGTGAATAGGTCTTGCAGCCCTAACTACTTTCTCAGGTTACCACATCTAGTAGAGTTCCAAGCTAATCAGGCTAATATTCTTCTAAATACAGGCATTTGCCTCCCCATTTTGGGGGATATTAGTTTTTAATGTGGACCTCTGCTGCACAAGGCAAATATTTGTAGAGGGTTCAAAAGACAAGCACCAAGTTCTGAACACTGTTAGAGCTTTTATGCAAAATGAGGGGAAGATCTGTTTGTTTTCCAAATTGCTTTCTTTAATTTACATTGACTTCTTTAAGTTATGATATCAGCTTCAGAATCCACCTTTGGAAGTGCAGGGTGGGAAAATCAGGCTTATTACAGCAGAAAAACGCTTATTGTTTCATTAGCCTCCATCCAGGAAAACCAACACAGAGCATCAAGGCCAAAACTGCCAGTTCATGTTCCAGAGTGGTTAATGGTAATTTATCAGATATGGGAATGGTGAGGGTGGAAAGAGAAAATAATGGAATTGTTTACTCCCTTATGGCTTTAATTGAATAACACACATACATACACACACACACACAAAAAAAAAAAAAAAATCTAGTTATAGCAAGAAAAGAAAAAAATCTTGGCTTATGTCTGCAGCAGCCCTAAGTTTTGGACAGAAGCAATGTTATAATGTATAATTATATAACTTGCTTGAACAGTTGCTTCCCATATGGGAAGTAACAGATTTGCCCAGCTGCATTTTGGCAAAGCCGGAATCTACCATTATTCAGGATATAACAATTTTGCTGAAATTTGGAAGTCTTACAAAGGTATCTTACACATTTCACTGATGGTCTTTGACAATACTTCTCTTCTTTAGGAAAATACATGGCTTCCACCCCTTCTGCAGAGGTCCTCAGCCATATTTATCTCCCAGGACTTTCAGCATAATTGTGTTCTGACTACAGATGACTAAGTCAGCACTCCTTTCCTCCTGTGATGAAAGAAAGGATGGAGCTTCAGGATGCATGGAAAAGGTACCTTTGAAAGTCTCATTTAAACATTTTGATTTTGGATAATCTTCTAAATAGACAAATTTAGTTCAGCTGCATTGCAATCTTCCTCTCAGGTTATTTTGTGTCTTCCATATCAATCAGTCAGGAACTGAAGCAGGGAAAATTCAGCCTTCAGTAGCCTCAAAGCAGCAGCCAGCATTTGCTGCTTATTTCAGTAGCTTAGCTATAACCCCAAGGTTGATTACACTTCTTAAAATTCTGCAGAATATCAGACTTTCAATATCTATGAACCTGAACTAACAGTGGCCAGGGCTATTTATTTTTTTTTTTTCAAGAGTCCTTCTCCAATAGTTAGAACACTAATTGATCTCACCAGGTTCTCAGACACCCATTCTAATGTGAAGAACTGGGAGATTTTCAATATGACACAAAGGAAAGTTAGAGGCGCAGATGTTTGGCACGTATAAGCAGGATATAAGTTGTTGAGTGTGAAACTCAGTGGAGAAGCCACAAAAACTGTCACAGTTTCACAAGACTGATGCCAAAGTGACCTAGTTACCAGAATATCTGAGTTCTCAAGTGTGAGTCAAATACATATCAATTGGAACTTCCCTCACAGCCAGCCTTTCAAATGCTGGACAGGACATTACTCCTCAAAAAAAAATATTTTACAGGCTCATTTCACTTAGTGTTGAAGGAAACAAAACAAAGGTGTCCAACTTCAAAACAGACAATGCAGTGTGAATTGTGGTAGTAGTGGTTCCACAAATGCCACTGCAGTCTCCTGGGGAGTGCAGCAGCCGCGTAGCCCATAACATTTTCAGTATCCCAAAGGGAAATTACCTCAGATTTCCTGCGTTCTCATTTGTCTGACACGTGTTTTTGTTACATTTTATATCTTTAAGTGTTTTATATTCCATGAAATCACTCCAAAAAGCAATTTACCACGTTATATTACTTTCTGCTATCTTTATGTATCATCAACATTTTGAGAACTAAAACTACTGTGGTTTGGAGAATCCATGGAAGGCATCTGGTACAATTAGCAGAGCTAAAGAAGAGAGTGCTTTTGTTGCCAGATGGTCCTCTGTATTTTGCACGAAACAGTTGTTGAATAATAGACAGGAACAGGCCTGGGACATGGAAAAGAACTGAAGCATGTGGGTGAGAAGTTTGAATCCTCACAGGCAGACAAAGGAACTGCAGAAGTCCCCACACATCCTGGCCAGGTGCCACGAACCAAAAACGTACCAAGTCTCACCCCCAAAGGCAGCAGTCCTGAGAGGAGGTCTCAAGTGAGTGGAAAACCTCCTTGAGCCTTATGACAATTCAAATACAGCATTCAGCCTGTCTTTATCTTTCCCCCATGCTAGTGGTGGGCAGCTCTGCTCAGCACAGCACAG